CCCCAAAACCCCAAAACCCCAAAACCCCAAAACCCCAACTGATATTTCCAATATTGAAATACCCATGCCTAGATAGCTTTAAACTTTAGAAAGATTTCTATGCAAAAATTATGTGGTCATCCAATTCATGCTTCACCTAATGCTTTCTCAGCTTGAGACTTGTCAGGTACTTCGATCTTGACGTAACCGGAATACTTAGTCGCTTAGACCCCTTCTTTGGGTTTAGTACCACCAGTGTCTTGCTTGGGCTATAGTGGGAAGTAAGAATCTAAGCAATTGTTGACATTAAGAAGAGATTTTATTGTTAAAAGAAATAAAAAATTAGCACAGAGAAGATCTTAGGACACTATTATAAATTACCTTTTATTCCCTTTGGAAATAATTTTGTCCTGATGAGGGACACTATCATGCTTTGTTAGTTTACCACATGCATCTTCTGAGATGTTGGCAGTGGTCAACTGGGTTGAGTTAAGGCTCTTCATGATTTCTGCAATTCACATAGAGCGCTCCTTATTTTTGGGGGTTTTGGAAGCTGCTGTTGATAGTCCAAATGGTTGTATATTTCAGTTTCTTTTCAAAGGCATCCTTTTCTTCTTAGCCAGAATTCTTTTATCTCTCGAGCTTGTAAGAAGCTGGGTATCACTTTGATTACCCTCTGGACCCTTGCTTGGAACCTTTTTACTTTTTATCTTAGGCTGAGAAGGAGAGAAATAACTGCTGTACTCCTCTTGATTCAAATCTTGCTGAGCTTTATTTCGTCCTTGTGAATTAGTATTGAAAAAATCAGAACTATCATAAACTCCAAAGGAGCTCCTTGTCTTCGAAAAGCCCACACAGAGCTTTGTAATTTTCAGATCGATCAGTCTCTCATTTTCCTTCTGAATCTGGCAATATTTTTCGGATAGTTCATGGTATTTTTGGAAAAAATCTTGTGTCTTTAGATCATCAAATAACTTTTCGTTTAAGATGCTGAAATTCTCAACTTCTTCAGTCAAGTCTTTAATAGTCCTCTTCAATCGAACACACTCTGCTACTAATTGGCCTTTGTTACTGTTCTGAATCATCTTCTCTGCTTCCTTTAGATGCTTGTCTCTCTGACGAAAAGACTCCTGAGCATATTGGTAGTTCTTCTGTATTTTAAGTAAGCTCTTCTTTAAATCAGAGTTTTCTTTTCTGAGTTGCTCTATCTTTCTATTGCTCTGAGTTAATTTCTCAACAACGCTATGATCTTGAGTGCAACATTTCGATGAGATATTATCAGATTCTTCTGAATCTTTTACTAAGTTTCCTATAGAACTGAGTTAATGGATCTGCCATATCTTCCCTTTTGTACTAAAAATTCAAGAGTTTATTGTAATCATTTTTAATCCATAACAATCATAGAGTTATAAAAATAGTGATGTTTTATCTGGAACTATCTTAATCCTAATCCTTCTAATCAATCCAAATCTCCTCTTTGGTATCCCATCTTACATTTCTGTTTGCTAGCTTCCTCATATTTAGCATGACATCCTTGAGACCCTTCATTGGCCTGTCTGCCTTGCCATTTGTCATGCTCATCACATCCATTCCCACAATGTCTTGCCTCCTGGCTTACTGCATTCCCCAAAATGGGATCTGGGAGTCTCAGATCCCTGATTTGATACTCATCATCCTGAGTTGTTAAGCCCTGTGACATTAATTCTAAATTTATGTGCCAAATAAAATCAACTTAATTTAGAACCCAAGGGGTTTTGGGGTTTTGGGGTTTTGGGGTTTTGGGGTTTTGGGG